TGGGTAGCAAGACAAGATCCATGGGACATTCCCTGCTTGGTGCCTGTGAAGGACTGTGGGGATGGAAGGGTCTGAATATGTGTTTGGGGGCTGAACTGTAGACACTCAGGTTTGCGCCTTTTGGCTCCAGACGTTGATTCAGTGGACACAGGGAGTCTCCTCCACTTCAGTGCTGCTGTGCGGGGATGGCTGTACAGACTAGGTGGAGTGGTCAGCAATGGAGAAGTGGCTGCACATGAGTATGAGAGACATGGGTGTTCCCTTGTGAACGTGGCTTTTCTATAAGAGAATATAGTCCATATTCCTAATGCCATTACACAGGATGTTCAGCGAAGCCCAAGGTGCTTTACACTCACAGCTCATTACCTCCCGACACGACGCGTCAGCAGTAGAACAGCTGTCAGGAGAACACGTGTTGCTCATCAGCAGAACACACCTTCTGGGAGATGGTTGTCCTCTGCCCCTTGGACTGCAGCTCCTGCACCCCAGGCAGAGGCCTGGTAAGTGGGGGGATGACAAGACATGCCCAGATCAGTATTCATGAAGGACTATGGGGATGGTGGACTTGGAAATACCCGTGCTGAATCCTGTTGGCCCCAAGTCTTTGAATCAAAGTTCTCAGGGCCATTCCAGAATTAGGGCTGCTCTAGTACTGCCAGGGGTAGGAGAAACTAAGAAATGGTCACCCTTCCCTTCATCATATTCTTTCTTTTCTCCATTTTTATCACTCACCTCCCCAGGGCAGCAGCAGCATCACAACCACCATAACCAGCAGCATCCTGGGTCCTGAGCCCCACTTTGGACACTGAGGGGAGGGACAGTGTCTGACAAGGATCCAACCACCTTGCAGGGAAAGGTGGCTCTCCCTCCTGTACTCCAGGTGCAGGGCTCAGCCAGAACTGCCTCTATCCCAGTAACCTTCTGAACAGAACGGGAAGCAGTGGTGTCCCCGGCCCGAGACATGGTCAGTGCTGTTTCTGCAGACCCAACAAACACACATTTCTGCAGCGCCAACAGACAGGCCAGGGCAACACAGGCCAGTGGCCATCGCTGCATTGATGGGAGAATGCCTGACACCAAACTCACCACTCCCCTTTCCAATGGTACTGACAACCCGGGCACACCACACAGATCCCTTTCAGCTGTGGATCTGCCCCGCCTGTCAGACCAATGTCTTGGACCCAGGTCTTTAGCCTCTGTGACGTGATGCTCACCCCAGTCTACCATCTCCAAAACAGAACCTTGGAGCAGACACAGGTGTCCAGAAACCTCCACCTGGACCTAGTCACACACCGACTCCCTGACATCAGAGTGACCAGCCAAGGTCCACTGACCTCGTCTTACCCCTTCCCATATAAAGCCCCCTCTTGGAGGGGGAAGTATCCGGGCAACAAGACTCAACCATTTACCTAGGCTGCTACATCCCTGGTGCACACTGCTACTGGCTAACAGATTCCTTAGGTAACTGAGCTGGCAGGCCTGACATTGCTCTCTGCCTGACCCTCTGGATCCTCCACTTGGCTCTCCAAACAGATCTCCTGGCTTTTGACTTCCTGGCTTCTCCTGACCGAGGTGACCTCCAGGTCCAGCTGCTCACAGCCTGGTATGACACTGGCCCTAGCAGTGTTGCCAAGGGGTGTGTCCCTGTTTCTGACCTCTCCACCACCATTATTCATACGGAGAGACACAGGGATTATGGACAATGGTTTATTTTAGAAGCAAGGGGAAAATTCCATAATATATTTCATAGATTTCATACATTTTAGGGTTGGAAGGCACCTATTAGTTCATAGAGTCTGACCCCCTGCCTTGGGCAGGGAAGAGTGCTAGGTTCAGACGATCCCAGCCAGGTGTTTGTCCAATCTCCTCTTAAATACCTCCAAGGAAGGGGACTGCACCACCTCCCTTGAAAGCATATTCCACATTTTGGCAACCCTCACTGTAAATAGGTTTGTTTGTTTTTTTCCTTATGTTCAGTCTAAATTTGCTCTTCTTCAATTTGTGGCCATTGTTTCTAGTTACTCAGATGGGTGCCCTGTTAAACATTGTATCCCCTATTTCCTGCTGTCCCCCACTGATGAGTCTGTAGACGGCCACAAGATCACTTCTCAGCCTTTTCTTGTGGAGGCTGAAGAGATTCGGGTTCCTGAACTGATCCTCGTAGGGTTTTTTTGTCTAGGCTTTTGACCAGATGGGTGGCCCTGCTCTGAACCCTCTCCAGGTTATCTAAATCCCTCCTAAAGTGCGGCGCCCAAAACTGGGGACACAGCTCCAGCTGTGGTCTGACCAATGCCACATTGAGCAGAAGTATCACGTCTCCAGACCTGTTTATGATGCACCTACTTATGCAAGAAAGAGCGAGGTTAGCTTTAATTATTACTACATCACACTGGTGGCTCATGTTCATTTTGGAGTCGACTATGACTCCAAGATCCCTTTCTGCACTTGTGCTACTTAGAAGGGTACCTCCTGGGCTGTAGGAGTGTTCATGATTGTTTCTCCCCAGGTGCAACTCATGACACTTATCCTTGTTAAATGGCATCCTATTCTGTTCCACCCACTTCCCCAATCTGTCCAAATCTGCCTGGATTCACTCCCTCTAGCTTGTTTACCTCCTTGCATAGATTGGTGTTGTTTGTAAATTTGGACAGGGTGTTTTCTACTCCCTTTTTGAAGTCACTAAGTCAGATATTGAATAGTACCAATACCAGAACAGAGTCTTGGGGGACTCCAATGCCCACATTTCTCCAGGTAGAAACCGACCCATCCACCACCACTATCTGGGTGCATCCCATAAGTGAAATTTCCACCCAATGGACTGTGTAATAATCTACATTGCAGCTGCTTAGTTTATTTATAAGAACTGGGTGTGACACTGTGTCAAACGCCTTCTTAAAATCTAAGTAAATAACATGTACATCTATTGCTTCATCCAAGCATTTTGTGACCCAGTCGTAAAAAGAAATCACGTTAGTCAGGCAGGATCTGCCTGCTGTGAACCCATGCTGGATGCCCCTTAGAGCATAGAGCACATGGAGTCTCCCTAGAGGAATGAAGGAAACCCCAGGCATAGGGCTCTGGTAGATGGGCAATACCAGGTTCTGCCTTGCAGACAACAGGGTGGATCTTCTCCTGGGGAAGGGCAGTCACTGTAGGATGGCAGGCACTTTTGATCTCTCATTTCCAGGGGTCTGTGATTCCCCTATGGAGATACACACCCTTGTCTCCTGGGACTCCCTCTTTGCTCAAGTGGTTGCCAATGGATACTCAAAATACAAGATGAAGAAAGTGAGATCTGGGGATTTAAGTAGGCTCCAGTACATTCAGCTGTGTTGCTGGGGAAACGATTCAGGAAATAGGCATACACATGACATTCACAAGGAGGCAGAAATAAATGATGTTGGCCTGTGTCTATGTGATATTCCACCCTACCCCGAGCTAGCAGCCCCACTGCCCCATGATGTGGTTTAGGATGTTGTCATTTCCCTGAACATGACAGTAGAGGATTCCAGGTTCTTGGATGAAGGGTACACTTCCACACCACCACACTCCTCTCCCTGCTGCAGTTATGTCCTTGATCAGTCCCCTGTGGGCCATGTGACTGGTAGGGTTTTCTTGTTAATGTGTCCCTACCCATTCCTTACTCCTCTTCTCACAGATGCAGAAGTGACTTTCTTTGCAGGCTCCAGCCTGAGCTACCCCACCTTGGATATAGGCACAAACTCTGTCCTGATCATTCTGATGACTGAGGTCTCGCATATCAAACCTGGAATGGAAGTCCATAGTTTACAGTTCATGTCCACCTCCCTGAACTCACCACACCAAGACACAGGGCTGGGGGGCTTTCTGTGCTGCTTGGGATGACAGTGGGCGATGATGAACAATGACCTAACAGATGGAAAATCAGGGATGGTTTGTTGCTCAAGGCTAGAAGTGTTTGGATGAGACAAGACAATTCAGCACATGTTTCCTTCATGCTCATGGTACATTCTACAAGCCAAGATGTACTAAAAATCATGTTCTGGCCATCTGCACCCTTCCTCAACTAATCTGCCCTGTGTTAGAGATTGCTCCTGGAATGAAACATGGTGCATGCTTTTGTTTGTCTGCCTCCTATAGCTGACTGTTATTCTCTGAGGGGTCCCCATTGTCATGATGAGTGAGAGAAAAGCCTCCATACTTACATATTCAATCACAGTTCACACAAGGTCAGACAGTATCTACAATATAAACTCATGTATCAAGTAGCTCTTCAGTATACCATCTCCCCTTTCCCACCATCCCATGCTCTCTGGTAATGAACAAATGCTGTGAACTTTTGAGTAGCCCACCTGGCTGCCCTTTCTGAAGTGATGATGGACCTTAGAAGAGATATTTGTTATAGAGAGAGATGTTAGGAAAGTGAGGCGGTGTCATGGCCCTGTTCCTACTCTCTGCTGTTGCACTCACAGACATCCCCAGGTCCCCTGCACCAGTTTCTCCTGGGCTTTCAAATTGTAGATCTGCTTGTGGTGGGTGAGGATGAAAGGCCCCATACACATGTAAAGAGCTAGATTTCATAAGATCACAGCTCAGGAGGAGCACTGGGAAACAAGAGTTTATCAAAGGGTGGGGTTGTTTGGGACCTGCACTAGAGGGTGGGGAATATTGCCAGGGGAATCTCTAGCAAAGTTCAAAACCCCATTTGTCTGGTGCAGTCTTTAGACCCCAGCTCCACAGTGAATTGCGCAGTGGTGTGAATGATGCACGTTGGTGCAGATGTGAGGGCATCCTAGTGACATAGACTTACAAAAAAGAGGAGAGATCTGTGTTGTCTTTCCAAACCCACTTCCTGGATCCAGGATTATACGACAGTCCAATCCAGAATGGGTAGTACCAGGAAACACCACCATGATCTTCGAAATATTCATATAATTCTTTTTTTATGAAATCCTAAAACAGAGAGAAGGTGAATTCTTTCAGCTGTCAGAGAGTGAGAATGCCAGGAGAGCGCTAGCTGGGTGCTGGCAGTTCCCCACACACACTACTCCTGCAGGCCTCGGTGCAGAGCTCATCCTTGTACGTAATGTTGAGTTCTCACTTCCAGGGTTACGGCCAGCTTGCTCACCTAGAGTTTAGCTCCCAAAACCAAGTCAATTTGTTCTGCAATATTAAGTGTTGCAGCCTGGAACTTTTGTTTGCCAGGAGAGTTCCTTTAGCATCTGTGAAGATAGTTAAGGGTGGTGGTAGGAGCCCAGTTAAATATATTCTCCCAAAATTCACAATGGGAACAGCCCTTGGGCCCAGTCTTTGTTTTGCCAGAGGTTACACTGCAGCCTTGGATATCGTCCTTAAACAACAATTTTCCCCTTGAATAGTGGGTTCAGCTGTCAGCCAAATCAAACCCCTTCACACCTTCTAACATAGAGGGTGGGCAAACTGAGGAGATGGAGGAAACTGGAGAGCCAGGCCATAGGGCTTTGGTTATTTTCTACTCACAGAGTATTGAATGGAAAAAAAAAAAAAAAGAGAGAGATTTTGTCTGTGAAAGGAATCACGATCATGGTGTACACGGGAACCCATCAGTGCAGAACCTTTTTTCAGAAGACCCTATGTTTTTTCAGAGTCTAAAGTCACTTTAAAAATCTGGCTGAGGGTGTAGACCATTGGGATGCTTGTGCTAATTTGGCCCTCATCCTCACTGGGGGAGATTCAAGGTTGAGCACCCTGCACACAGTGCAAGCAGATGGTGGGCTCTGCCCAGTCGTTCCTGAAACACAAGCCATAGCTGCTGATCCCTGCTCTGCTCCCAGGCTAGTGTGCTCAGCTGACAGTGCCATGGTCTCCCTTCTTACCCTGGTCTGTAGGATAATGGCTCTTTACAGTCCCCTAATTCCTATCCCAAGACTGGGGAGCTCTCCAATGTATATTATACTTATCAACCTTCAGGAAACTCTTGTTGGAAATCCCCAGTTGAGACCATGGCAGAGAAAGCCCAGACACTGGACCTGGCTCCTCTGGATCCATTCAGCTAGACATTTTGCATTGATATAGTATTACAGGAAACATTTACTTACCAACTCTTCTCCACCCTCAATGGTGAACAGCTGGGCAGATTGTAAAATGCAGGAGGAATGACACTTTTCCCAAGTTCCTTTTTCAGGAGAAAAGAGATAGGAACTGTCCTTGTGGACAACCCACCGTGCTGGACACTTCTCCCCTGGAACAAACAAACACTGAGAATCAGTTTACCTCATCTCTCAATACTCCTTTGCTGGAGACAGGGATTTTATGTGCACCTTGTTCCTTTACTTTCCATCTGGGGACAGGAGCTAGGATCTTGTCCCCATTACTGGGAGGTAGGCAAGAGCCAGGAACAGCAGGAGCAGACAGGAGCCAGCCTCAAAGTCCGCTCAAGACAGTAATGGCTGCTGTGGGGTGGGGAAGTGGTTTTTCCTCCCCTGAAAGGTTGTGAGTTTTCAAACAATTTTTTAAACCTGTGTGTGTATAATGGCAAAATACTGGCCACTTTAATCAACTCAGAACCTCAATTTATTTTGTGTTTGAGTCACTTCAAGATTTCCACATATTGAAAATATTCTGTTTGAATTTTTAACTGTTTTAACTTTCTTTTCCATTGTCCTCATTAATTTGAAATGCAACATAACACTCCGAAGGGCAAATGATCCTCTGACCCTTTCTTTTTTTGGTAGTATCAAAACCTTTCATTTGAACAAGATTGCAACTGTTTTTTTCTGTATTTTGTTGAATGTTAGAATTTTCTGGACATAACCCTGCCCCTCTTATGCATAAACGCTTGCGGCCAAAAGCTGTCTATGCAACTGTCTATGGAAGTCCCACCCTCTCCTACTGAATGCATTGCCATCTTCTGGGCCAGGGCCAGGTGGGAAGAAATCCATCCTCAGATGAAGATCTGGACTCTCCCTAGTTGAGAACAACAGGAAAATGGAGTAAATCAGGCTGGAAGGAGGGTCAGTGAGAGGTCTCCATTGTTCACTCCTCTCTTGAAGTGGGGCCCTTAGAGCAGGGGTAGGCCAAATATGGATCATGGGCCAGATCCAGCCCATGGAAGTCTTGTGTCTGGCCCACAGCAGGCCCCTGTGGTCCTAAGGGGGACCCATGTGCAGTCCCGATATACCCTGCGCTTTCTGCAGACTCGCAGAAACTGTTGCAGCTGTTTACCCTGTTCATGGTAAACAGCTGCAGCAGCACCAGAGCCAGCACGGCAGATGTGTGATTGGTGCAGGGGGAAAAGCGGCCCCTCCCCCTTGCTGCTGCCCACCGCTTCCTGCTGGGAGCCAGTGCGCTGGGACTGAGCGATGCTGGTGGTGGTGGGGAGGTGCCACAGCGTGTGTGGGCTCCAGGCTGTTGTGAGGTAAAGGCAGATGCTCACCGGCTCAGTGGGGGTGTACGCGGGGGCGCTGCCATGCATACCCCACCATACCCACAAACCCTCCCCAGCAAAACCCACAACCACGCACAATCACAAACCTAACAAACACCATCTACCCACTCCCCTGCCCACATGTACCCTCCGCACACACACATCCACATTCCTCTGGAAGGAGCCCCACTCATTGCTATCTGCACACACCCCACCACACACATGCGCCCACCCCACAACCCCCAGCCACCCTTCCCTTGCACACCTCCAGAAGCCCCCTCCACACACACACACATCCCCCCAAACATGTTCCACAACCCCCGATTCCCACCAACCTACATCCAAACATACCCACACACCCTCCCCCATGCCCCAGATCCCCACATTCACAGACACACACACCTACAACCCTACACAAACCCCATAACAATCCACCCGTGGGGCTGGGAGGGAATTTCTCTAGTGCTCCACACCCCTGCTTTCTCTATGAGTCAGGGTTTTTATGCTTTCCTCAGAGGCATTGGCTGTTGGCTACAACCAAGGCTGAGGATTTTGATTGGAGTGTGCCAGGGGTCTTCCTGGGACTTAAAGCTGGAGGTTCCTGGATACAGGATCCCGCCCCTCCTCTCAGAGTCAGATCAATCACCATATCTGGGATCAAGAAGGAAATCTGTTGGCATCTGTAGGGGAAGGGTGGGAGTTGCTTTCCTCTGTAGTTCAGGGTATGGCCCTCTTCCTGGGATCTATTGAGCATGTATTAACAACTTTTAGACAAGCAGGATTTTGACTGCCATCCCCTACTTTATCTGCAGCTGGTTAGGGTGTCATACCTATTGGTTGTGTGAGGGTTGAATGTGTACTTTTAACAAGGGGCTTGTATAGGAGGGTTTGGATAGGATGATCCTGCCACAGGCAGGCTGTTGGACTAAATGA